TTTGCCCGTTTTACCGTAGGTAAAACAACCCCACTTTACCCGTTTTACCATAGCTAAAACAACCCCACTTCTGCCTGTTTACCTACTACCATAGGCAAAACAAACAAAGTGGGGTTGTTTACCTAAGGAAACTACTGAAATGCATTTGTTTATCTATTAAAACAGCCAAAAATCCTGTTCGTTTCCCACAAAAACAGCTAAGCGTTACCTACAGAAACACCCAAAAGTGTGTTTAACTACAAAAAAGCCAAAAGATGTGTTTTTTTAACCCATGATAAAACAGGTAAAGTGGGGTTGTTTTACCTAAGGAAACAGCCAAAGTGGCTGGAATTTGTTTCGATGAGTTGGTCCGTATTTACGCTCAGGTTTCATCTGTAAAACCTGTAGATAAATGTCCGCTTTGTTTACGTTGTTACTGCCTCACTCTCTGTAAACTCTTTCAAACATTTTAGTTCAGGATAACGTTTTTACCTTTGATTTGACTCTTTTCACTGAGCAGCTTTCATACAAATAATAATTTGTGTTTGTTTATATCAGTGCATTATTTAAAATTTTGCGTTTAGGTGATGAGATGTAAAACTAACTAATGAAACGAGTTCAAATACAACCAGAAGAACTGACTTCTGCAGATTCAGTCCACAACATGCCCATGCAGCAGATGTTACCTTTTTGCACCATCTCCTGTCTTTGATGCTGCAGGAGCATCTTTTCTGCAGCAGGAGGCGCCACGTGGTCAATTTTTATTTTAAACAGAATCGTTAAAAAGAAGAAGAAGAAGAAATAGGGAGACTGAGCTTACTTGAGCTGTCGTTGCTCCTCCATTTTGGTCATGATGTCGTTCAGGTTTTGGCTGAGCTGCAGAAAAGGAGCAGATTTTATCGACTGATCGGTTCATCGATGGTCTGAGCGATACAAATCTTAACAATAATCGCTTACTTTGCTCATTTCATTGTGGAACTTCTCCTGATGACCTGCCAGGCTCTGGAATGTGCCAACGTAGACGCCAACACGACTAAAGCGACACAAACACACATTGAGGGTTCGATCGGAGGGATCAGCAGGCCTCTGGGTTTACCGGAGTCTCACCTTTCCCACAGAGCCGGGAGCTCGTCCTGCAGCTCTACGTTCAGCTCCTCGAATATTTTCTGAGCCCGGCCCAGTTCCTCCTCCGCCTGCAGACACGTCATCACAAATGTTAATGTACGGATGTGTCCACAACGCCAAATGTTCAGGAGACGCAGAAAATCACTCTCAAACTACAGAAACACGAAGAGTCGGCTGAAAGTGAAGCTTGTAAGCGAGACAGGATCAGCAGATGAGGCCCAACGTGGCCAATCAGAGCCAGAATTTTATTTATTTGTTATTTATCAAACACTGAATGTCTTAACGTTGCAGAAATATGCTTCAAATTATGTTCCAGCTGCAGACTTTCTGCTGTTTTAGTCATTGGTTTAGCAAAATGTTGATCTCATTCAGCAGATGGGTGCTGCGGCTTTTGTTTTTTTGTCTTAATTATACTTTTTAAAATATTTTACCTAGTTTAAAAACATTTTCATCATAGAAAGACAATGAGATCTCTTCAATTCCTTCAAAAACAGTTTTCTTTGAAATTAGCTTTAGCTACGAGCTCCGTTTCTGTCTTAGCTTTGCGTTAGCCTTTTGATACTTTTAGGTAGTGTTTTGCTACATTAAGCCTTTAGCTACCCTTAGCTTCTTTAGCCTTAGGCTATTACATTTAAGTAGCTTTTTGATAGTTAGCTTGACCTAGCATTTAGTTATATTTCACAAGTACTTTTCTACTTTTATATCTTATTATTAGCTAGTGTTTTTGATACATTTTGCCACTTTAACTTTAGGCTACCCTTTTGCTACTTATAGTTTTTAGCTAGTTTTTTTATTTTTCATTCAACCGTTATTTCCGTTTTAGGTAGTGTTTTGATGCATTAAGCCTTTAGCTACCCTTTATTTCTTTAGCCTTAGGCTAGCCTTTGTTACATTAAAGTAGCTTTTTGATAGTTTAGCTTGAGCTAGCATTTAGCTATATTTCACTAGCACTTTTCTACTTTTATATCTTATTAGCTTGTGTTTTTGATACTTTGCCACTTTAGCTACTTTAGCTTTAGGCTACCTTTTCGCTACTTTTAGTTTTTAGCTAGTTTGACACTTTTAGATAGTGTTTTGTTTCTTTAATCTTTTAGCAACCCTTTGCTAGTTGCCTTTTGGCTAGCATTTCGTTACAATTTTGTGCTATTTTAGCTGTAGCTAGCATTTTGCTTTATTTAACTAGCACTTTTCTAATTTTATATCTTACTATTACTTAGTTTATTGATACTTTTGGGTAGTGCTTTGCTTCATTAATCTTTTAGCAACACATTGCTAGTTACCTTTCGGCTAGCATTTCGTTAAATTTGCTAATTTAAGTTCTATCTAGCCGTTTGCTACATTTACCATGTAGCTAGTTGACCGGTTCTTTAAGCTGAAATACCTCAGTTTTAGCATGTGAAGCAAATACCAGCAAATCATTTAGCACCATGTCGCGTTTTCACAGAAAAGTTCTGACAGAAGGAAATGAGGAGTGGATGAAGACTTTTTGCACATGCCCTCTCCGTGCTGATCCTGGAGCATCTCCAGATGAACTAATTGCTGTTATTTGGGGGGACTAAAGACGGGGACAAGAACCAGAGCTTCACCTGGTTGTAGGACAGGTTAGTCTGAGCCACCTGGTGGGCTGAAATCAAACCCTGAGCCCAGCTGGGAGCCGCCATCTCCAACAGAACTGCCGGCTGACACACCATGCAGGACAGGAGGACAAGGAGGACAGGGAAACAGGGGGACGGGGGGAGGAGGAACATGAAGGACAGGACAGGAAAGAGAGACACGAGGACAGGAAGAGGAGGGACAGGAGGACAAGAAGATAGGAGGAACAGGAAGAACACAGAGAGGTGTAGAAACAAAAGACCAAAAACAGACAAGAGCGGTTCAGAACAAACATTTTCATTAGGATGAAGCAGAGCAAACGGTTTCATGAGTTTAATGAAGGTTAACGAGCTGCAGAATAAACTGAAACTAGTTCTGACTGATCGACCAACTCTGGTTTGAACTGAAACCGAATTAGATTCAGAATAAAGTGAGACTGTGGATAAATGTTGAACAAACGGTTCTTGCTGTGGAAGAACAACTTCTTCATGCCACATTACATGAAAACCTCAGATGGTCAACAGCCACGTTCAAACCGTGCAAGCCCCCACCCCACCCCCGTACACACACACACACACACACGCACATGCACAGCTGGTTACCTTAGCGATCTTAGCTTCGTCCTTCTTCTTGCCTTTCTGTAAGGAGCCGAAGTGATGACGGGCGCTGTCAAAGTCCACCAACTTCCTCTCACGCTTCGCTATACGAGCCTGTTGGACGGAACAACTCTGACATGAAGAGAACACACAACATCCGACAGGAAAAACCCCAGGAGGACATGTCCATGTGGACATTTAGGCACTTTTTATATTTCCTCTGTCTGTTCTCAGTGGTCAGTGTAACCAATTTCTGTTTCTTGGTGGTCTTTGGTCCTATTGGTGCGGTCTCTGGACCTCCCTTTGGGGTCTCTGAGCATATGCAAAGTTTCTGAGTGTCTCTCATTTGTTGGTAGCTTGAGCTTTTAACTGAACCTCCTCCGTGGGTGAGATTTGATCAGATGTCCTCTTTTCTCCTACTGGGTCACCTCAGGGGTGTGTTCTTTCACCCCTTTTGTTTGTTTCACACACTAATGATTGGCACAGTCAGTATCCACGGCACCACCTTTTAAAATTTGCAGATGATTCGGTTATCCTTCATCAATGATGACCCAGATCACGGGCCCGTTGTCAAGGACTTCTGACCAGACTGAATCCTCCTTTTTAAAGATAAACATTTGAAAAACAACTTAGGTCATTGATTTTAGGAGAGATACCAGTCATATTGTCTGTTATCTTTGAACATGTCGAGACTGAGCAGTCAAAAATACCTGGGGACAATTATTTTAAATAGGCTGTATTTTGAGACTAAAACACAGATTAAACTTAGGTTTTTACATGAGTCGTTATGATTTTGTGAATGTTTTACATGTTTGTTTCTTGTTTTTATAGGTGGCTGCCTAGTTTAATGTGGCCCGAACGGCAATGTGTACCCCCACAAATGTTATATCAAAACGACCGGCTCGGCACCGTGATGCGTGCTGTTACTTTTATTGGTGTTTTGAGTTACCATGGCAACATAATTTCAAGGATTCAAGGTTCTTTATTTGTCATTCACACCACATGTGGTACATGTGGTGGAACGAAATTGTGTACACAGGGTCCCAGTTACATCCAACAAGAGTATTAAAATGTAAAAGAAAAACTGTAATAAGACCTAAGATATGAACGAAGAAAAATGTTAACTATGGTAAAAATACACTAAGCACTAGTAGCATAAAAACAATACGCTGAACAGCAGCACGAACATGAGTCTGTGTGAGCAGATGAGTACGAATGAACACAGCAACATGAAACAGATCAGCAGCAACATGAAACAGATCAGCAGCACGATGTGGTTTTTCACAGTGATTACCCTATTTAGAGATTAGTGAGTAACAGCCTCAGGGTAGAAGCTGTTCCTCAGTCTAGTGGTTCTACACTTAATGCTCCTTAACCTCTTTCCTGAGGGGAGCGGGGCAAAAAGTGTTTGTGCTGGGTGAGTGGGGTCCTTCATGATACAGGTGGCCCTCTTCCTGCATCTGGAGGTGTAGATGTCTGTGATGGTGGGGAGGCTGATTCCGACAGACTTCTGTGCAGCCTTCACCACTCTCTGCAAAGCTTTTCTGTCTGCAGCTGTGCAGCCTCCATGCCACACGTTGATGCTGGAGCACAGGATGCTCTCCACTGCACACCTGTAGAAGGAGGTGAGGACTGAGCTTCCCAGACCAGCTCGCCTCAGCCGTCTGAGGAAGTAGAGGCTCTGATGAGCTTTCTTGATCAGGCTGGTGGTGTTGTTGCTCCAGCTGAGGTTGTCATTCATGTGCACACCCAAGTACTTGTAGCTGGAGACCACTTCCACCGCAGATCCTCTTATGTTCATGGAGGGAGGGGATGTAGGTGTGTGTTTGTTCCTTCTGAAGTCCATGACCATCTCCTTCGTCATCTTCACACTGATGTGAAGGTTGTTCTCCAGGTGTTCCACCTCCTGCCTGTAGCTGGACTCATCATTGTTTGTGATGCATCCAACCACCGCTGTATCATCTGCAAACTTAAAAAGCTAGTGGCCCGCAATACTGGTGCACTAAAAGGCTAAAGGCAGCCTCTTCCCTCATGCTGAACCCTCACGCTGACACCCCCCCCCCCCCACTCGAAAACTGTAAAACTGTCGGTATAAGCAGTGTACTGTGCAGCTCAGGGCGTGTCTCTGTCTGTCCACCCCCCCACACACACCCGAGCGCCCTGCCATGGCAAGTTACCTAGGAAAAATACTGATTCCTAATGCAAATTAAAAATCCAAAATGGCCTCCTAAGGGAAGATATCGAGCTGAAATTTGTTATGGTGGTAGCCAAGAGTCAATCCCAACACTGTCAAATCAAAATTTTAAAATGGCTGCAACGTGGCAGTACCCGTCAAAGTTTCTGCAGGAACTTTCTAGTGTATTTTATACTGCAAGCTGCAGAACAAATTGCTCTTGGGGGATCATAAAGATCCTTGAACTTGAATTGTCTCAGTCTTTAGACTCACCTTGATTTCAGGAAACTGAGCCAGGTACGTGTCCATGCACAGCAGAGACTTGTCCGTGACGTTCTGGTGATAGTCCAGCCATAGTGTGTCCGTGTCCTGAAGGACACACTTAGATCAGACCTTGTTTCGTTGTGTTTTCACCTTGCTACACTGCTTCTGATTCTTTTCTGACTTTTAGTTTTAAAAGAAAAATCAAACATAATAATCTAGTATTCGATGCCACATTGTGCTCTGATGTACTCTAGAACTGTGTTCAAACGTCTACTTCCTGTCCTACAGAGCTGTGGCGGTGCATCCCACAGTGACCACAACACAAACATCGTGTGGGACGCACCATAAGCTGGACATTACCTCCAGGTTAAAGTCCAACTCCTTCTCTATCATCTCCTTCAGGGTGAAGCGTGAAAGAGGCATGCAGTTGGAGAGAGGAGAGTCAGCAGGAGGAAGCACGTCAACAAGCCGAGAGGTCAGAGGAACCTTCTATGTCTTTGTCTCACCTCTGCCAGGGCGTCCGTCTCCTCCTTTCCAAACCAGTCTGGTTCGTACATGTCAGCCAGGCAGTCCTGCAGGCGTCGCGAAGCCTCGTGCATCACTGGGAAACAACCAGACAGACAGAATGATTAGAGCGCCATTATCTCATCCTGCAGGGCTGAAATCAGACTCACTTTTCACCGCCGACAGGTAGGCCTTCAGGTCCCTCTGCAGTTTGGTGCCTTCGGCCTGAAACAGGAAGCACAGCGAGTGAGGAAGAGGAGCGGCAGAGGAGCGAAGCTTACTATGAGATCATGAAGGAACCTGTTGCGGACCATCTGCTTGTTGAAGTTCGTCACCAGCTCCTCGAACGCAGTGTCCCGAGTCTCATCGGCTTTGCCGAGTTTCTGCAGGACCTACACGGACAAGGAGGAGGACAAGAAGGAGGCGAGGGGATCAGCTCAATCATCTGAGTTATTCATCTGTTTAAAAAGCAACTGCTTGACAGATGTCATTTCAGAGAACAAGCGTTTTATTAGGATATGTTAGCATGAAAAGGTCAAAGGTCAAAGCTTCTGTGACCCAATGATACAAGGAACATGATCATTGGTTCATTGGGTAGAGGGGGAAAAAAATCATAACCCGGCGCCCTGCCTAGCCCCCGCCGTCGACAACTGCCGGCACTAGCAGCGCACAATACAGATGCGCTAGCTAGAAAAGCTACAGCTCTCTGCTTTCCTTACACTGAGCCGTCTGCCCATTGGTACAAACAGTGCACGCAACACAGACTCCACCCACCCCCATCGACAAAAATCACGGAAGATACGAGTACCCTGCCAAGGCAAGTAAACTAGGGGAAACACTGTACATATTTGTTACCGGTATGTATATAGTTAAAAGTTGAAAAAAAATCTTTCCACTTAATCTTATGTTACAACGTGGACACCCGCGGCTTATAGACAAGCGTGGCCTAGATATGTACAAAATTATTATTTTTTTATTTAGTGGGCGTGGCTTATATTGGGTGCACTCGGTTGTCTGGAAATTACGGTAAATATTACCATTTAGTTTGAAATTAAACCTTCCTCATTATTTTACTGATTTTCTTACATCCTTGGAGACTTAAAAAAAAAAATCAATTCTTTATTTTCAAACCTTTTTAAATCAAACTTATTTCCACCAAATGACACATTTATATTTGCCATCTCTTTTTTTTTTGTAAGTTTATATTTTTGGGTAGTGGTGCTTATATTTGAATAATCATGGTTCTTTTGAGTTTTCGTTCCCGAGCTGAAGAGGTGGCCACGTTTGTTTTGGTGGTGAATGAGCTCAGCAGCTAATCTGATCCGATGACTGACTGGGAGCACATGGACGAGCCTCCACCACCTGCCGCCTTAATCCGGTGACGACGAGGCGACGGACGGGACTTCCCCTCTGCTGCCAGGATCCTTTAAACCTCTGAACACCTCAGTCTGTCCTCCAGGAGGAGATTTAGACAGAAAACAGGGAAACGGCTTCAAACTACTGATCCATGGGCAGAAATTTGTCGTTTAAATCCAAACTCATTTCAGGACACCTCAGGTTGTTGAACCCGTTTCAGAGGAAGAAACAAATATTCTATACATTTTGTCTTATACAACAGTGAGTGGACATTTAAAACTCTTCAGGACTTTCCGTCCAACTTTGAGACGAATACACGTCTTCTGTCCTCAAAGACAGAACAAACCACCAGCCGTCGGTGTTCTGTTTCAGCCCCCTCAAAATACCCCGCAGCTTATTTACAGGCAGGCACAGGGGCATTTGGCTTCAGGGGGTAAATATAGATGCCACACCCACAGCCCTGAGGCATGCTGGGAGAGCTGGGGGACCAGGGGACAGGTGGCGAAGCCAAGCTGCACAACTTCCATGTCCAACAAGTCTGGATTTAACTCGCTTTAGAAACCTCTTTACGCTCAGCTTCAGACGCCGTCCTTCAGCTGTAAATCTGATCTGGTCTTTATCAGGGTCTAAACTGGTTCTGGTCCAGTGTGCTAGCACAACACCAAAGCAGAAAGACATCAGCAATGACCTTAAAGAAGCAACTGTTACTGCCCATCAATCAGGGAAGGGTCAAAGGTCATTTCTAAACTATTTGAAGTCCATCGTCCTATGGAGAGAAACATTATTCACGAGTTGGTGACATTTAAGACAGGTTAGCCAATTCCCCCAGAAGGTCAGACCATGCAATGCACTCCATCACAGACTCTACAGGCCTCAGTTAGCAAGTTAAAAGGTCAAAGGTCACGGTTTGTTTGGGGCAGAAAGTCTCTTCTCTCTTAAAAAACAAACCAAAAAACAACAACATGGCAGCACAATTTAGGTTTGGAAAGCTCCATCTGAAGAAACCACGAGAATCCTGAGACAGTGAGACCAAAGAACAGATATTTACCCAGAATGCACTTTCACACAGTCAAGCACAGCAATGGAGGGGTTGTGATTTGGGCAGCCAGGTACTATTGCTTACCCGTGGTAACCACAAGGGTGTCTACCTCTATAGAAGTCACTTTAAAGCCATAACCACTTCTGTAAAGGTCAAAGGGTTTATTATTATTATCATTATTATTATTATCATTATATTATTATTATTATAATCATCATCATCATCTTTAAGGTTTTGGGTATTCACACTGAGGGGTGTCCAAGTTCTTTGAGATGTCAGGATAGGAGAAGAGTGACCTGTTATGTTTCATTCAACCTTTATTTATACAGGTTAGTCTCATGTATGTCATGTTTTAATGTGCACACTTCAAACAGAGTTACGGTACTTAGAAGAAAAAAAAAAAACGTACAAATGTTAATTTTCATGTCATGTTTCATCATTAGAACAAGTGCAGCATCAAGTTGGATGTTATTTGATGCATTATGTTCTTATCATAATGGACCTAATTAAAAAAAAAAGTTTTTTTTTTAAGTAAACTGGTTTTATACAAGAAAACTAGTGTGGCGTGGACGCAACAATAAAAATGCGTCTAGGTCAAGTGCAGAAAAGACGCACTAGCAGAAGTGGTTACTTTTCAAAATAAAAACACCATGCAGACCTTAAAGAAATATTATAATTACTATAACTGGAGAGAGGACCAGAAGAAGGAAGTTGAAGCGAGTGCCCCCTAGTGGTCAGATGAAGGTATTAAGCTCCGCCTCCCATATAAACAAGTAGTACATTCCGATTCAAAAACACTACTGGGATCATTTATTTCAGCTGTTGATTTTTCACGCTTACGTTGCTGCTGATTGCGTTTAGTTTAAGTTAGTCGAAGCTTTAAACAAAAAAAAAAAGCGTTGTGTTGCATTGTGATTGACAGCCTGCGAGCGAGTTGGGAGGATCTGGAGGCGGGACTACTGAGGGCGTTGCCCCGACTCCTGAGTACGAAGTCTCAGGCTCCAAAAATAAAACATTTAGCTTCAATTCTGGCCCGTCTTAATTAAAGTCGGTGCTCAGAACAGTGTCTATAAAAATATTTATAAATTTTACCTTTTTATTATAAGCTCTGTGTGACCTGGTACCATTCCTTGGCCCAGCTGTTGGGGACCCCGGTCTAGATTAACGCATCATGGCGTATAAAAACTCCTCTTTATGGAAACGACCTGAACTGACAACATATCTGCTTCCTGAAGAAGTGCTTTGTTCTGTAGTGGAATATTGAACACATTTCACTTTGAATTAAGGGTCAAGGATAAGAGCAGGAAATGGGATTCATCCCAAAAATATTTTAATAAAATTACAAATGTGACTTTTGACTCTGCGCCACAACGAGATCATAATACCATTACATCCAAATATTGATTTTAGGATTAATTTATAAACACTCAATGACTCTTCTTTACTGTCAGTTTCGCTATTCGGTAACTTGCTTACAGGAAGTGCTTTACCCCTTTATACACCTTTAACAGTCATCATCAACAACCTAAACATTAAGGACAACCCATCTGATCACATGACCTGAAAAAGTCCACCCATTTCTGCCCCGACTACCCAGCAGGCAATGCGGCTCTTACGTTCAAGAACAACGTGTAATTTCAATAATTCTCATTAAAATTCAGCAGTAACCCACAGAACATACCGTTGCAGTAAAATTTCATCAAGCATCGAAACAAAAACATTGAAAACTTTCAATTTTTAACCGAAATTTTACATTTAACCGTCGTTTTTTTGAGCAACTAGAAACTTCGGAGTGGATTTTCTCACGCGGTCATTGCGTCACTCCGCGTCAACATTGTGATTGGTTAATTTTCCTGTCAGTTAGTGACAACGCTCGACCCGCAGAGCCTCCGACTGAGCTGCGCCTTCTCTCCTGACGGCGAAGTCCTAACCAACGAGAAACCAAAAATTTAAGGGATCTGATTGGATAACATGGATTCAACCTATCCAAACACATATTGAACATTATTATTAATATTGTTCATCTTATTCTTTATATATTGTTTTTAACATTTAGGAACTTGTGTGTGAAATCTTTTTATCTGATGTTGTTACACTTGAATTTCCCATCCGTGGGACAATAAAGGCTGTTTCTATTCTATTCTCTATTCAAAAGTTTCTTCCTCAACTGCAAAGCAGTTTACAGAAACCCAAGAAATTAACAAAAAAAGAAACTATATTCAAAAATACATTTGTATTAAAGTAAATATGCAATTAAAAATTGAAATAACATTGTATATGTGCTGAATTCTTAGGACTTCTCTGAAAGTGTAGAAGGCTCTAAGGGTTCTCTCCACTGCTTTTCAGCATCTAGAATGATCCTAAATACGCTCCCTGAGGAACACTCGGGGGACGTGGACGAGCAGCGAGCCACAGAGGCAGCAGCTGCTCTTCAAAGTTCACTGAAGAGTTTCCAACGCGAGTCTGAAACAGCTGAAACTTTGACATTTAACCCCTGGAGCAACTCTTTTGAGTCAACGTGGGCAACGCTTTAAACCTGCTCAGGATGCACCACAAGAAATCATCCCTTTTTTTATTGGCACCGAGTCTACAAAAAAATACAGAATTAAAAACAGCTAGAAAACCTCCCAGATATTTTGCAGACAAAACCTACGTTTAAGTTTTATCCAAGTATTCATATATAAAAATAATAATTTAACGTTATTTATCTGAGGAGCCGACTGCTTTGAGTTTAACTCCATCGCAGACTCATCTTGAGCAAGCATGAAGGCGACAGTGGAAAGGAAAAACTCTCATGAGGAGGAAACCTTTAGCAGAACCAGACTCGGAACAAGCGGCCATCTGCTTCGACTGGCTGGGTTTGAGAGGAATAGATACACAATGGCAGGTCAAGAATCACATGTTAAGATTTAAACAGTATCAAATGAAAACTATTCAGTTTTAACAAATCATTTAAGGAAATTAGGTTAATTTGTCTTCTAGTAGTCGAAGCCTATGGCAGCATAACAATCCAACCCTAGCTATAGGATTTATCAAAAACAAAGTCTTAATCCCAGTCTTTAAACTGGACAATGTGTCAGCCTCACAGACAGAAACTGGAAGTTGGAGAGGAGCCTGAGAACCGAAAGGCCCTCCCATTCTGCTTTTGGAAACTCTAGGAACCACGAGTAAGCCTGCAGTCTGAGAGCGAAGCGCTCCGTTAGAAAAACATGGCACAATAAGAGCCGTAATATAAGATGGAGCTAGGTTGTTGAGGGCTTTGTAGGTTAGAAGTAAGATTTTGAATTCACTTCTGGATTTGACAGGGAGCCAGTGGAGAGAAGCTAAAACTGGAGAGATATGATCTCTCCCACTAACTCCAGTTAAGACTCTTGCAGCAGCATTTTGGATCAACTGAAGACTTTTGGACACCCAGATAAACCATTGCAATAGTCCAGTCTAGACGTGACAAAGTTTTTCAGCATCACTTTTAGATGCTTTTTTCTTTTAGGGCTCGGACCGTTAGAGTCCTCTGTTCCTCTGAGTTTTAGGACGTGAACAGAAACTGGTTTGAACTCCGTCAGCTGACTGACAGCACTTGGAGGTGATTACAGCGTGAAACTTGTGCAGCTTCAGCAGCCACAGTGATTAGACCAGACAATAATAACTCAGAGTCGTCGGGTTTCACTTGGACACGTTGTTCAATCCTCGTCTTTCTTTAAGAAAACATTTACACACATTCATGCATTTGGTTCAAAAATGATGTAAAAACTGTTTCGAGTTGCATTATTGAAATGTACAAAACAAACGGTGACATGTTCAGATTAATCGGTGGCGCAGAGGTTAGAGGAGGCGAGCCTATGATCAACGGAGAGGTTGCTGGTTCATGTCCACTGACTGGTGCATCAAAATCTGGGTGGGAAAAGTGAAGCACCCACACCTGCCTCCATCCTCATTTGCCCCACTGTGGTCCTTCAGCGAGGCCCTGAACCCTCCATCTGCTCTGATGGCGGCCCCCTGCTCCACACAGAGGGCTGTGGTGAGCCGTGAAGAAGGGAGCAGCCGAAGGAGAACTTGATTTATTTGTGGCCTAAAATATTTTGTGAAAATGGGTGTGGAGTCAGGGCAGCACGGTGGTGCAACTGGTAGAGCTGCTGCCTCTCAGCGAGCAGGTCCCTGGTTCACATTCCGGTCCAGGGGTCTTTCTGGGTGCAGTTTGCATGTTCTCTCCGTGCATGCATGGGTTTTCTCCGGGTGCTCCAGTTTCCTCCCACAGACCAAAAACATGCATGTTAGACTGATTGGTAACTCTAAACTGTCTCTAGGTGTGAGTGAGAGAGTGAATGGTTGTTTGTCTCGTTTGTCTCCATGTGTCCCTGTGATGGACTCGAGACCCCCACGTCAGACCCAGTATGAAGTGGAGACCGTGCCTCAGACCCAGTATGAACTGGAGACCCCTACGTCAGACCCAGTATGAACAGGAGACCCCTACGTCAGACCCAGTATGAACTGGAGACCCCTGCCTCAGACCCAGTATGAACTGGAGACCCCTACGTCAGACCCAGTATGAACTGGAGACCCCTACGTCAGACCCAGTATGAACAGGAGACCCCTACGTCAGACCCAGTATGAACAGGAGAACCCTACGTCAGACCCAGTATAAACAGGAGAACCCTACGTCAGACCCAGTATAAACAGGAGAACCCTGCCTCAGACCCAGTATGAACTGGAGACCCCTACATCAGACCCAGTATGAACTGGAGAGCCCTACATCAGACCCAGTATGAACAGGAGACCCCTACGTCAGACCCAGTATGAACAGGAGACCCCTACGTCAGACCCAGTATGAATTGGAGAACCCTACATCAGACCCAGTATGAACTGGAGAGCCCTACGTCAGACCCAGTATGAACAGGAGACCCCTACGTCAGACCCAGTATGAATTGGAGAACCCTGCCTCAGACCCAGTATGAAGTGGAGGCCGTGCCTCAGACCCAGTATGACCTGGAAAACCCTGCCACAGACCCAGTATGAACTGGAGAACCCTGCCTCAGACCCAGTATGAACTGGAGAATTCTATCTCAGACCCAGTATGAACTAGAGAAGCCTGCCTAAGACCCAGTATGAACTGGAGAATTATTTCTCAGACCCAGTATGAACTGGAGAATTCTATCTCAGACCACCCAGTATGAACTAGAGAAGCCTGCCTAAGACCCAGTATGAACTGGAGAATTATTTCTCAGACCCAGTATAAACTGGAGAACCCTGCCACAGACCCAGTTTGAACAGGAGAACCCTGCCACAGACCCAGTATGAACAGGAGAACCCTGCCTCAGACCCAGTATGAACTGGAGAACCCTGCCACAGACCCAGTATGAAC